TAGTTTGCCTCTTTTTGCAGCTTGGCTCTCCAGCCTGGGCATGTTTTAGTTCCATCCTTTCCAGAGTAAAAGGAAGTCCAACAACTAAAAGTCCCAATCCTTATTCCAAAGCTCTCTGGTTCTGGCCTCACAGGTTTCTCTCTACCTTTAGCCCAAGAGAAGAAACTTCCAGCTACCTCTCACCTGGATCTCTCTCCCCTCACTGCCCTCTGCTCCTTCCTTTCTGAAGATCCAGCTCCTCCTGAGCTGGGCTTGCTCACCACTCAGACCTGACCCAACCCCAGGTGCCACCTAGTGACCTAATTGGGCTCAGGCTACTGTTAGCTCATGGTTAACCAGTGTGGAATTTATACACCCTGTCATAAATATAAAGGGAAGGGTAAACCCCTTTAAAATCCCTCCTGGCCAGAGGAAAAATCCTCTCACCTGTAAAGGGTTAAGAAAGGAGTCCAGGAGAGCTGGCTGTATTTCAAGGAATCCCTGTTGAGGTTACAGGGACAAACCATCCCGATGAGTAGAAAGAATAGTAAATATGGCAGGCGACCAGCTTGGCTTAATGGTGAAATCTTAGCGGATCTTAAACATAAAAAAGAAGCTTACAAGAAGTGGAAGGTTGGACATATGACCATGGAAGAGTATAAAAATATTGCTCGGGCATGTAGGAATGTTATCAGGAGGGCCAAATCGCACCTGGAGCTGCAGCTAGCCAGAGATGTCAAGAGTAACAAGAAGGGTTTCTTCAGGTATGTTGGCAACAAGAAGAAAGCCAAGGAATGTGTGGGCCCCTTACTGAATGAGGGAGGCAAACTAGTGACAGAGGATGTGGAAAAAGCTAATGTACTCAATGCTTTTTTTGCCTCTGTTTTCACTAACAAGGTCAGCTCCCAGACTGCTACGCTGGGCATCACAAAATGGGGAAGAGATGGACAGCCCTCTGTGGAGATAGAGGTGGTTAGGGACTATTTAGAAAAGCTGGACGTGCACAAGTCCATGGGGCCGGACGAGTTGCATCCGAGAGTGCTGAAGGAATTGGCGGCTGTGATTGCAGAGCCACTGGCCATTATCTTTGAAAACTCGTGGCGAACCGGGGAAGTCCCGGATGACTGGAAAAAGGCTAATGTAGTGCCAATCTTTAAAAAAGGGAAGAAGGATGATCCTGGGAACTACAGGCCAGTCAGCCTCACTTCAGTCCCTGGAAAAATCATGGAGCAGGTCCTCAAAGAATCAATCCTGAAGCACTTGCATGAGAGGAAAGTGATCAGGAACAGCCAGCATGGATTCACCAAGGGAAGGTCATGCCTGACTAATCTAATCGCCTTTTATGATGAGATTACTGGTTCTGTGGATGAAGGGAAAGCAGTGGATGTATTGTTTCTTGACTTTAGCAAAGCTTTTGACACGGTCTCCCACAGTATTCTTGTCAGCAAGTTAAGGAAGTATGGGCTGGATGAGTGCACTACAAGGTGGGTAGAAAGCTGGCTAGATTGTCGGGCTCAACGGGTAGTGATCAATGGCTCCATATCTAGTTGGCAGCCGGTATCAAGTGGAGTACCCCAAGGGTCGGTCCTGGGGCCGGTTTTGTTCAATATCTTCATAAATGATCTGGAGGATGGTGTGGATTGCACTCTCAGCAAATTTGCGGATGATACTAAACTGGGAGGAGTGGTAGATACGCTGGAGGGGAGGGATAGGATACAGAAAGACCTAGACAAATTGGAGGATTGGGCCAAAAGAAATCTGATGAGGTTCAATAAGGATAAGTGCAGGGTCCTGCACTTAGGACGGAAGAACCCAATGCACAGCTACAGACTAGGGACCGAATGGCTAGGCAGCAGTTCTGCGGAAAAGGACCTAGGGGTGACAGTGGACGAGAAGCTGGATATGAGTCAGCAGTGTGCCCTTGTTGCCAAGAAGGCCAATGGCATTTTGGGATGTATAAGTAGGGCCATAGCGAGCAGATCGAGGGACGTGATCGTTCCCCTCTATTCGACATTGGTGAGGCCTCATCTGGAGTACTGTGTCCAGTTTTGGGCCCCACACTTCAAGAAGGATGTGGATAAATTGGAGAGAGTCCAGCGAAGGGCAACAAAAATGATTAAGGGGACTGGAACACATGAGTTATGAGGAGAGGCTGAGGGAGCTGGGATTGTTTAGCCTGCAGAAGAGAAGAATGAGGGGGGATTTGATAGCTGCTTTCAACTACCTGAAAGGGGGTTCCAAAGAGGATGGCTCTAGACTGTTCTCAATGGTAGCAGATGACAGAACGAGGAGTAATGGTCTCAAGTTGCAGTGGGGGAGGTTTAGATTGGATATTAGGAAAAACTTTTTCACTAAGAGGGTGGTGAAACACTGGAATGCGTTACCTAGGGAGGTGGTAGAATCTCCTTCCTTAGAGGTTTTTAAGGTCAGGCTTGACAAAGCCCTGGCTGGGATGATTTAACTGGGAATTGGTCCTGCTTCGAGCAGGGGGTTGGACTAGATGACCTTCTGGGGTCCCTTCCAACCCTGATATTCTATGATTCTAATGATTCTAAGAAGCTAAAAGTAACCTCGCTGGCACCTGACCAAAATGACCAATGAGGAGACAAGATACTTTCAAAAGCTGGGAGGAGGGAGAGAAACAAAGGGTCTGTGTCTGTCGGTACGCTGTTTTTGCTGGGGATAGAACAGGAATGGAGTCTTAGAACTTTTAGTAAGTAATCTAGCTAGGTATGCGTTAGATTATGATTTCTTTAATGGCTGAGAAAAGAATTGTGCTGAATAGAATGACTATTTCTGTCTGTGTGTCTTTTTTTGTAACTTAAGGTTTTGCCTAGAGGGATTCTCTATGTTTTGAATCTAATTACCCTGTAAGGTACCTACCATCCTGATTTTACAGGGGCGATTCCTTTACTCCTATTTACATTAAAAGTCGTCTTGTAAGAAAACTGAATGCTTTTTCATTGTTCTCAGATCCGAGGGTTTGCGTCTGTGGTCACTTATGCAAATAGGTGAGGATTTTTACCAGACCTTTCCCAGGAAGTGGGGTGCAAGGGTTGGGAGGATTTTTTGGGGGAAAGACGTGTCCAAACTACATTTCCCAGTAAACCCAGTTAGAGTTTGGTGGTGGCAGTGGATATTCCAAGGACAAAGGATAAAATTAATTTGTACCTTGGGGAAGTTTTAACCTAAGCTGGTAAAAGTAAGTTTAGGAGGTTTTCATGCAGGTCCCCACATTCAGAGTGAGGGAGGAACCTTGACACACCCATTACAGTTGGGTAGAATCTTTGTTACATTTAAGCATTTATCATGCATCTGGTGGGTCTTAGAGCCAAGCTGAAGTGAATGGTTTGATAATTTACAGGGCTGAAGCCTTCAAGTCTGCAAAACTTCAAGCAAGAATTCAAGCTGGTTATTTAGAATCTATAGTCATATGCCAGAGACGAAGCTGTGGATCCTGCTTGACTAATATGAAAGCAAAACCTCAGTTTGGATTTTTGTGGATATTTGCAAAGAATTATGCTAGGAGTTGCTTTAATCCTCCAGGTTTCTTGTCAAAAACTGGGGCAAGCTGGCTTCAGCCTGCAAATTGCTGAAGTTATGTGGATTTAACCAAGTACTATACCTGCTGCTCCAGACCCACAAGATTGTAGGGGCCTAAGCAATTGTTTGTCTTTCTTGTGTTTTGAGCTGCCCCAAATTTTTGGGAACCATTCATGTATATATTCATTTTGCAAATTATCCTTCATTCACTATTGCAACCCCTCAACATTGAGAAGTCATTTGTCAGGCCTCAAAATCATATTAACTAAGAAATAAGGTGTGTTTTTTTTTTTTAAATTAGTATCAGGTCTTTATATTTTGCTTATTTCTGATTTTTGAGGTTTAGGTGACTTTTGGGCTTTTTTCCATAACCATGGGGCTAGAAATGTACTTAAATGAAACCTACAGAAGCTAGGGCTTTAAGACAAAAAAAAAGTGCGAAACTCATGGGAGTGGACAATATGTGTTTGTACTCTTTATCTAGGACTAGATTGCCACAGCACCTACTTGACCATGCAGAGAAGAAAGAAAGTGGAGGTTTGTGGGTCTGGGGGTGAGGCTTAGCCCTGCTCATATCGCAGCTCTGGCCAGCGGGACAGAAGAGTAGAGGCTGTTTGCCTGATAATTTCTTCAGTGAGGATATGGGCAGGGAGACAGGTGGAGACTTGGAGTCTTAGAGCCCTGGTTTCACTGGCCATAACTCACTGGCCAGAGTAGCTGTCTAGATGTAGGGAATATTAAGCAGTTCCACAGAAAGCACGGATGAGAGAGAAATCATTATGCCCATCCACCCTTGCAAGTTGGAAGAAGCAGAGGAATTGTCTCTGAGGTTTAGTTTGTTCTCTAGGCTGCTCCTGTGATTGTGCAGATACATGGCACCCCCTCCTTAGGGCAGATTGTAACTTTACAGTCTAACCCCTTCCTGCACTTTTAAAAGCAAAATGTTAGTGTAGACAAAGTTTGGGGCTTTGTGGATGTTCCAATTGGAGGTAGAAATTGATGGAATCTGGTATTTTCTTTGGTGCTGTCTTCCTTATTTACAAGGAATGTGCAGATTCCTGAATGCAGAAGACGACAAAAGGAGCAATTTCTTGGTTTATAGCCCTCAAGCCTCTTTAGCCAACAGATCCAAAATTTTTTCTCTAGCTTTTTCCACTAGGGTTAGAGGCTCCTGCTTGGCTTTCTTGCCTCTTCCTCTCTCTCTCCTCTTGTTTGTTCTCAGTTTTTGTGATCTCTTCCCTCCAAACTCCTGGGTAGGTTCACATGCACCCTGCTTTTGTCTCAGGTGGGGATTTGTGCAAACAGTAATGTTAATTGAAGGGTAAGTTCACACCTGTCAATCTCAATGAGTTTTAATTACATCCATAACAAGGTCCCACCCAGCTCATAACATTATGTTGATAATCTATCACAGTAGGAACAATGTAGTGACTTATTAGAACTTTGTTGTGAAAACATTAAGAAGCCATTTATTTGTATTGTATTTATAGCCTGCCAACTAAGTGCATCTTATACATTGAAAAATAATCAAAAGCATTCCATGATCTGAGAGAGGATGTGCATAAGTGACAGGAAAAAAAGACATTTTGTAGAGGGAGAGTTATAGCATGTTTAAGTTAAAAATGCTGCTTACTGACAAAAATTGAGTTTTTAAATTTACTAAGGAACTAAATATTCTCTCTAAACACAGTCATCATTCATTTGTTTACTCTTTATTATCTCTTCTGTGGATTAATCTGTTTGGCAAATGGATACCAAATGAGCCAAATTAAAGCCCTTGGTGTGGATTTGACCCAATAAAAAACCCCAAAACAAACAAACAAAAAAACCCAACAAGCTGGGACTCCTTCCTGGCCAGGGATCACCCTCCCCCAGTTCAAAGTCTTTGTCTGCCAGACATGTTTTGAGGTGTTGAGTTGTGGGTGGAGTGAGGCCACGTGATGATGTCACTTTCCCTCTTTTATACTTTCTTCCAGCTAGCTGTAAAGATCTTTGCTGTTAGGTGGATTAGTCTGCCTCCATGGCATACATGCCTCCTCCAAGAAATCTCAAGGATAGTGGATTCTTTTCTTGATGAGACATTAATGCTGTCTAGCTACTCCATTGTTGTACCTAAAAGGCTGGTTGTGGGTGTTCCCCACCTCACCACATTTCAGTAACATATATAGCAATACTTTATAAACATCACATAATGATAGCACATACAATCCAAGAGGATATTAATGTTCAACAGATCAGGACTTTTAAAGTGATACCTCATAAGGCATACTTTTGTACAAAACATCATAATTGTATAACAGTGGTGAAAATGGAGCTTTTAGGGTGCTGCTTTGAGGTACAGAGTGTCACAACCTCATTTAAGCTAAGCTCAGCCACACATGGAAATACATTAAAGGATCTTATGGAAGACGCTCACAAAGATGACAACCTTGACACACGTGCAACTTCAAGAGGTTCTTAGTAACATTGGTGTCAACTGGCCCTAGTATCTAATGGACACAAAGGAAGTGACCAGAGACTACTTTTGAGTAAAATGGACTCATGATTAAAGGTCATTGTATTGTAATTTCAAATTAAATGAGAGGAGAAATCCTTAACCTTATCTAGGAAGGACATTTAAGATTAACGAAATGCTATGAACTGGCCAACCAGTCATTGTGGTGGCCAGGCATCAGCAAGGATGTAAAATAATAAAGAATCACCTGTGAACATTGCAGAGCTAACAGACCAACACAACGCAGAGAACTTTTAACACCTCTACCAGACAGAACTAGGAAGAGACTAATTGCAGATTTCTGTGAATCTGGAGGACATCTACCTGGTCGCAGTGGACTATTTTTCCAGGTATATAGAAATACATGTATGTGGCGGTTCAGTGATGAGACAGAACACAGCTTTTTGCAAGCAGGCAGGCTGGTCAGCTGAGATGGGCCGTTCTCTGCCCCCCCGCCTTCCACCTTCTCCTTTTATTATATTTCTCCCCCTAAGCATTACACACTGCTACACAAAGGAATGTGTGACGTTAATTCATATACTTAGTTACCATCCCCTATCTACTACAATCCTGGTTCTCAGGCCTTGAGCCCAGGCTAAGAAAGCCTCCCACCGTTGCTGTCCAAACAATCAAGTTCTCATGGTTCATATCTAGCCCTTGTCCTTGGATAGAGCAATGTGTGCATTGCTTCTAGGAAACAGTCAGGGTGTGCCCCGCCTGCTTCCAGGTGGACTAGCTAAACATTAACCCTTCATCTCCCCGTTTTTTATTTATTAATATTTGGCCATCTCATGGTAGCCGTCAATTTGTTTTGTCATGCTATTTAACTCCCAGACAGACAAGGACATAACCTGGGGAGCTTTCCAGGGCAAAATTTTACAAAATCTTAACAAGGAAAGAATACATTGTACACAGCAGCAGCAAAAAATAAGCCCAATAATTACAAACACAAAATAACCAAAAGCTCAACATCTGCAATATAATCATCTAAAAGGGGTACACTTCTTTTAGGAAATAGCAGGCACAAAAGGCACACAATCATCACAGAATTAGCAGTGATTTGGGCAAGAATCGCCACAAACAAAGTCTCAGGAGTCTCTGGCTGTTGATCTGCTGCCAGTCTTCGTTGAGCCGCGGCGACCAATGCTTTTACTGCTCCCCATGTCACGGGCTGGCTTGGGACGCTACGCCTCCTCCGTTTCCATCCCGTCGTTGTCGACTCGGGGGGCAACGCGGTCTCCTCCAAGGTCAGCTGAAACTCCGGTATGGGATTCGACAGTCCCTGGTGCCATGCCATGTTGTTTAAGTGCCGGTCGCACACACCGAGCTGGAACCCACAACGGTCCTGCAGGGAGAGACACAGCAGCATATCCCCGACCCCAAGTGATTAGAGGTACTGGGCCCAGCCACTGTGGATCGGGCAGCTGACAGTAATAGACACGTGGTCTTTCCAGTACCTCAGATTTGTGAAAATGCCGATCCGCAGGGGTCTGCTGATCTGCATTCAGTGTTAAATTATTTAAAGTAAACAAGAGGATATGCATTTGTTGTTAAATGTCTCCTAAGGTTCGGAGACGCAGCTCCCCTTGTTTTAATTGTTTATCTAGCAAGATTTTGAGTGTGCGATTGGCACGTTCAACAATGGCTTGGCCCGTGGAATTATAAGGGATTCCATGTTTAAGACGGACGTCCCAGCGGGCACAAAAGGTGGAGAGGGCTGCAGAGCAGTAGGCTGGGGCATTATCTGTTTTAATTTGGCAGGGGCGACCCATAACAGAAAAGCAGGCCAGCAAATGGTGAATAACTTTGTTAGTGGCTTCCCCACGTTGTGGGGAAGCCCAAAAAAAAACTTAAAGAAATATCAACGGAAACATGTAAAAACAAATAGGGGCGGAATTGTGGCACATGAGTAACATCCATCTGCCACAGCTGATTTGCTGCGGTACCTCGGGGGTTAACGGCATAAGAAAAAGTAGGAGCAGCAGCAGCACAGTGGGGGCAGGAACGAACAATGGAACGTGCATGATCAGCAGGAATGTGAAACTGCCGGGCCAAAACAGAGGCAGACTGATGAAAAAAGGCATGGCTTTCAATGGGGTCAGAAAAAAGGGAATTTACCTGACCACACAACGCGCGACCGGCGCGTGCATTGCCCTCAGTGAGTGGCCCAGGCAGAGGGGTATGACTGCAAATATGAGCAACAAAATAAGGGAAATGACAAGTGGCAAAAAGGTGCTGCAAAAACAAAAACAGGCGAAGGAGGTCTGCATCAACCTGAGGGGTAATGAGGGCAAGGGGTAAATGATCAATTACCTAATAAACATAATAGGTATCCACAATTAAATTAAAGGGACAATCAGCAAAAGGTTGAAAGGCCAAAATAACAGCAGCTAATTCTGAGGGCAAAGGGGGATGGTAAAAAAAACAATCTTTTAAATCTAACACACAAAGTTGATCGGTTTGAGGAATTAAATTTGGATTTGGCAAGCCAAATTGCAAGGGGCCCATAGGTTGGATGCGTTTATTTATTTCCCTTAAATCATGTAACAGTCGCTAAGCACCCGATTTTTTCTTAATAACAAACACCGGGGTGTTCCAGGGACTAGTGGAGCTCTCCAGTCGCTGTGCTTGCAAATGCTGCTGCACAAGCGAATGAAGTGCTTTTAGCTTTTTTAGAGGGAGGGGCCACTGATCAATCCATACGGGCTCTAAGGATTGCCATACCAAGGGTAAGGCGGAGGGCACGGTGGGTGAGGGAGGGTTTTGGGCCATCAGATGTTAATATCGAGGGTGGTGTCTAACTTTGTAAGTAAATCACGGCCCCAAATATTGAGGTGGACAGGGAGCACAAAAGGGCGGATAGTAGCAAGGGTACGGCCTCCCGGTTTAGAGACCGTGACCCAAGACAAACTTTGGCGCCCGGGTTTACTACCCCCGATCCCCCACAATTCTTTAGAAGGAACCGTAGGCCAACTAACTGGCCACTCCAGATCACGAATCACCGTAACGTCAGCTCCAGTGTCCACCAGCCCTGTAAAAGGAACATCATCTAAGAGAAGTGTTAGCTGAGGCTTCGAGGGGCGGACTGACATTGTCAGAGCAACAAGTGGAGAAGACGCGCTGTGAGACGGCGAGTGAGACAACGTTGATCCAAAGCCGCCTCCGCCCCGAGTTCGATCCTCTGCATCTGGCACCTGATAGGGGACTAAAATCAATTGTGCAATTGACCGTCCACGCGGGAGCGACTGTGGAAGATGAGTCCACACCTGAACCTTAATAATGCCAGTGTAATCAGCATCAATGACCCCTGGAATGACAAAAAAGCCCTGTTTCCCAGCATGTGAGCGAGGGAGAACAAGACCTACAAAGCCGGCAGGGAGAGGTCCCGTCACCTGTGTAGGTATGGCACAGACCTCCCCTGGCAGCCGAAAGTCAGTGTCCTCCTGCATGATCAAATCAAGCCCTGCACTTCCAGCAGTCGCCGCCCTCATAGAGTCTACGGATTCCAAGGCAGAGGAGCGATTGCCTGAGTAGGAAACACCCCCGTTTGGCCCTGGGTTCGGGGGGGACCCGTCGCGCGGTTTCCCGACCCGCTACGACACTGATTAGCCCAGTGATAACCTTTCCCACACTTGGGGCACTTCTTTGAGGGTCGGGCTGGTGCCTTAGATGAGCGGCACTCCCGCTGAAAATGACCCTCCTTACCACAGCGGTAACAACGCTTCCCCTCCTTCCCAGTTTTTCTGAGGGCGGCAGCCAGAACTCCAGCCTTGTGGGCTTGTGTGCCAATGTTCTGGCACGCCCGCAGCATGTCTGAGAGCTCTAAAATACCAGAGGCTTGTGCTGCCTGGAGAGCACGGCGGCAATCCTCGTTTGCATTTTCAACTGCCAATTTTAACAGGAGCTCGTGAGCTGCCTCAGTGTTATCCACCTGCCGGAGGATAGCCTCATGCAATCTGTTGGTAAAATCCAAAAAGGACTCTGAGGCACCCTGACGGATACTGACAAAGCTTTTGGTAGGCTTGCCTGAATCCGGGACCTTCTTGAAAGCATGCTGGGCACAGGTGGAAATAATGGGGAAGACGGCCTGAGGGAGTTGAGACTGCATCTGAATAGTAGCAAACGGGCCCTCCCCTGCCAATTGCTCATAAATGATACCGTGCGCTGCATGTACCTGAGCTTGGCGTTCTGCCATCTGCCAATACTCACTAAGCCAAATAACATACTGACTAGGTGATAACATCATGCGCAGCAGCGTTTTCCAATCCTCAGGGATTAGGGAGTACCCAGTACCTATCCCTTCAACGAGACCACGCACAAAGGTGCTAGTCAGGCCAAACTCACGAATTGCTTTCCTCACCTCTCTAACCACCGAGTATGACAAAGTGGTCCAGGTGCCCACGGGGTTGCCCTGGTCATCATTCTGCCAGGTCACCGGGCAAACTGAGACCAGATCAGCCAGCTCCTCCGCTGTAAGATCTGATCGAGCTTTCGCTGCGTGAACCATTTGTTGCACCAGCGAAAGCTTCTGAGCAGATGCAGATGACCCTCCGGGGGGCCCCACGGGGGGAGGGTGATCACACACCGGCTCCGGTGGGGAAGGCCAGGGAGGCGGTGGTAATAGAGGCACTGGGGGCAAAGCAGGGGGAGGGATGGCTGCAGGAGCGAACGGGGGCGGCGGGATCGGCAGCCCCTCTGTTGGTGCTGGAGAGGGCCTTTCCGAGGCGACACGCTGTGTCGCATCGCCAGGAGGGGGGATGGCTGCAGGAGCAGACGGGCGTGGTGAGATCACCAGCCTCGCGAGGGAGGGCCTGTCGGAGGCGACACGCTGTACCACATCGCGGCAGAGGTGCCAGGCATGTAAAGCCTGCACGGGCGCCCGAGGCTCTTTGTGCAATGTCTGGCCCAATTGCTCCCAGTCTGCTAGCTTAAGGCTTCCGGCTTCAGGATACCACGGGCACTTGGCACGCACCTCCTGTAGCAGGAGAGTAAGTGCTCGAGCCGGGCAGTCATGCTGAGCCTTACGCAGCAAATACTGCAGCTCATTGCGGTGTTGCACTTGCAAAGCAGAGAGGGAGCTTCCCATACTTACCACAATGAAAAATACTCACCGGGATCCGCGAAGCGGATGAGTGACGCGTCTGAAACCCTTGCCGGGCGAGGTGAGTGCTGAGGGCCCCACGTTTGGGCGCCAGTTGTGGCGGTTCAATGATGAGACAGAACACAGCTTTTTGCAAGCAGGCAGGCTGGTCAGCTGAGATGGGCCGTTCTCTGCCCCCCCGCCTTCCACCTTCTCCTTTTATTATATTTCTCCCCCTAAGCATTACACACTGCTACACAAAGGAATGTGTGACGTTAATTCATATACTTAGTTACCATCCCCTATCTACTACAATCCTGGTTCTCAGGCCTTGAGCCCAGGCTAAGAAAACCTCCCACCGTTGCTGTCCAAACAATCAAGTTCTCATGGTTCATATCTAGCCCTTGTCCTTGGATAGAGCAATGTGTGCATTGCTTCTAGGAAACAGTCAGGTTGTGCCCCGCCTGCTTCCAGGTGGACTAGCTAAACATTAACCCTTCACATGTACTTGAAAGTCATGACATACCATAGTATTGAGAAACTGAAGTGCGCTTTTGCTCACTTCAGTATTCAAGAACAAGGCTCAAAACTCACTGGTGGATGACAACTCAGAACTACTGCTCCAACTTTGGAACAGAACCTAACTCCAAAGTGGTAAGACATGAAGATAACAGCTAAAAAAAAAAAAAATCAGATAAAAAGGCAAAAAGAGCTTAAATATTTTTACAACAGATAATTAAAGACCTGCTGGCTGTCGAACCTTTGTGCATGTCAAACTTGATAGGCAGGGAGGGGAGGAAGACGGCCAACTCCAGCTGCTGTAAAGGAAAAGAACTCATTGCCCAGATCATATATGTGATCAAGACTACAGTGGAGAGTTCAACACAAGCCATTAACATCTTGAGTTTGTTCCTCAGAAAGAGCAAACAGAGCAAAATCTACAGATGGTGATGCAGAACAAGAAGCCAACCCCAGCCAGTCATTGCAACTAATGGACAGCCAGATGACCAAGTTGTTAAACATTTGGGTTGCGTAATTAGAAAACCAGTACAATTCCAAGACACTTGCAGGCTGATACATACTGAATTTCAAAGAGAACAGGATAGTGTGTGGCATACCTTAATAAAGCTAACATCAGCCATACCTGGCAGTACATTAAAGGATCTTAGGGGAAGACATCTTTGGAAGCTCTGTAGTCAGTCCATATCTGATACAGAAGCCTGACCTGCTAGTAGCAGTCCTGCAACCTACTATGTGCATGTAACTTTATTTCCTAGAACGTAGAATACACAAGAACCCCAAAATGGAGAGAAAATAGACTGCACCCAAAGACAGCAAAGCACAAACACACCTCACCTTACTTTAAGAGCTCTTTCCTGATGGACTCTGATCACATACTTTGCTAGAGAGCCCCCTAGCCTGCAATCAGGGCCAGGAAACCTCTCCTCCCCTGATTACAGTACAGTTCTCAATATACTACAGTGAAGATAAACTAATGTTTGTGAAGCACTTGGATACTGTACTGATGAGTGCTTTAGAAGAGCCCATGTGGAAGTTAGTAATTATGTCTTCAGAGCGGGGTCTTAATAGTGTTCAGTAAATAAGGCATAAGGTCACATGTTGAGCAGTAAGGCTACAACAAAATATTGAATAACTGCTCATTCAAATGAGCACTGTCCATGCTGTGCTCTGAATGAGGCAGGGGTTCTATAAAAAGTAGGTGACCATGAAATTAAAGACTATCATAATGAGTACGTACCAGGCATGGACAGTCTTAATTCTGGCATTTCCTTACTTTTAGTGCTTGACTTTCCAGTCTAAGTATTATTGTTAATTCCATACAAAAAAGAGAAGTCAGACAAGCAGGTCTGCATTTATAGTCCTTTCCTTCCCCTTTCCCATACAGATAAGTGGTTTATTTCACTAAATATTTTCAGTGTGATTGACAAACAGAAATAAGATATTACTGAACTGAAATTCTTCAGGATGAAATATAAAAACAACTCTGCCAAGGGTTTTTTCCTGGATAACAGATTGATGTTTTTCATTTGCATTGTAATTAAAACATGCACGACTATAATGCTTTGCTTAAATGCCTACAGCTTCTCTTAAATGCCTGCAGTGTCATGAATTTGACTGTCATGTTCATGATTCCTTTAAAGTAAGAAAATATGAAATTAAACCCACAGGGTAATTTACAAGACTTTTTGTACTGTTATTCCCTTTACAGTTTTTTAAAAAATGAAGGTGGTTGGACATGGAATTATTCTGGATTTACACTGGGTATCTGGGATCAGAATCTATCCCTATATTTCTTTCTGAACTACAAATGTTTCCCTGGCTTATCTCATATGAAATTTAATTTTCCATGATATGAAATGTAGATAAATGGGAAATTTCACTGTAAATCTTTTCCTAATCACATAAATCATGAGAAGCTATGTTTTCCCTATAATGAATTTTAAATTGCAATAAGTAAAAATAGTTCAAGAAGCTAATTTTAGATAAATGTTCAGGAGTGGTGTAAGACTGTCATAAAGAGACAATTCTTATGGTTATAAATGCAGAATTAATCTTTTTGACTGGGGGCATTTATATTGCTGAGGATTAATGGCCTGGTTGGAATTAAAACGGAACATCTTTACATATTTTGTTATTAACTTATGTTGCAGTGGAGTCCAAATAACACACATCAAATGTTAGTCTCTTTTGAAATATTCCACAACTTCCAAAAACCAAATAAAATGAAAACCCCAAATCAACATGCAACCTCAAGATAATGGACAAGCAAGGGAAATGAACTGGGAAGGGATCCAGCCAGTTTCCATTGCCATATCACCCTCCATCATTCACGTCACCTGGTTTACACCACCCACCCAAATGTAACTTTGCCCCTACAATTTGCAAAACTATATGCAGAAGTCAAAACAGCTTGCTAGGATTTTATAAAATCCTATTTCCTGTTCAAGGAATCAGTTTCCAGCAATTTCTTATTTTGAGCTGTGTATATATTTTTGCAAATGTTAGGGACAAAATGAAGGAAGGGTGAGTATGAAATGAAGAATGATTTAGATTTTAAACGCTTTGGGGCAGAAATTGTAATTTCTTATATCTTTGTTAGTCACTGTACAATGGGATCCAACCTGGCTGAAGACTTTAGGTGCTAATGCACTCTAAATGTTAAACAATACTAGGGCAGTGGTAAATGTATAGTTCCCTTAACTATTTATTTCCAGGCAGTAAAAGATTGTATTAAAAGTAGCAGCAAATATATTTCAAAGGTGAACTCTGTTGCTGTTATCCTAGCCTTTGGACACTTATATTGGGAGAGATTCTTTTTGCTTCTTTTCTTCTAATGCTTTGTCAATCAATGTTTGGAGGTGTAATGAGAATTTTAAAAAGTACTTACCTATTAATCGTAGAGGCCAAGATTTTCAAAGAGGATCCTAAAACCCATATTCAGGGATCTAAATCTGTGGCCTAATTTTCAGATGTACTTAGGAGCTCCTGGACGCTCAACATCTTTGAGAAATCAACAGGGATGCTGGAACAATTTTTATAGTGGGGGTGCTGATGATAGAAACCATGGAAACCATATATTTGGCGTTTGTTATTACTACTTCAAGCCAAGGGGTATGGCAGCACCCCCAGCACTGTTAGTTCCAGCACTACTGAAAATCAGGCTACTTAGTTATATTCCATTTCTACATGGGAAAGCTTTTCCAATATAAACTAAGCTATGAATTTAAACCAATATACCAGTATAAGCTCTCCCCTCCCCCAACGTAGACACTCTTATTCTGGTATAAGAATACTTTTTTTTGTTTTGGTTGTGTTGCTTAGGAAGAGGTTTAACATGGACCAAAAAAGTCACTCTATACCAGAATAAGAACATCCATGGGGGGTGGGTTGTAACTATATTGGCAAAACTTTCCTGTTTAGACAGAGCATGAGGTCCTGATTTAGCAAAGCGCTTAATCATTTAAACAACTGTGCTAGCTTCTGTAGGAGTGTATATTCCAAAAGAATTGGTGTTCCTTTTCAAATTTAAAAACAAAAACAAACAAAAACACTGTGTAAACAAGCTCTCCCTTCCTTTTGACCCTGGTACTCCAACCCTAAATGGTAAACTAAACATTCATGAAAAGTTAATCACTTGGGAAATTAGTACCTTCTTATGTTTCAGCCCATGAAAGCGCCTCCTTTTCACTGACAGGCAAAACTCGGTTGATATGCTAGACACTTTATCTTGAACGACTTATCCTTCAAGCAATCTCCTGTACAGGCAGCAGCCAGAGCAGCCCTGTGAAATACAGTCACGATGCCTAGACACGAAAAGCCAACCATCATTGAGAGTGCTGGTAATTACAAATATAATTATACATCTTATACATGTATTCACTTACTGTATGCAGCTCAACATTCTGCAAGATTGCTTGAAACTATTTCCCCCGTATTCTTCCTGGTAGAACTTTACCTTCAAGGTGTAATTCACTATCTGTTTAGCAATGTATTTTACTTGAAAGCACCTTTGCTTTTAGTTTGCTTCTTATAAGAGGTCAACTAGTTTTTCCACTAGCTCATAAATCAAAACAATGCAACAACCGCCATTGCTTGACCCACAATTCTATCAACAGATGGGACAGCTGAAGAAAACAAAGAATTTTCGTTGCCTCTTGCAGTTCATACTCAGGCTAAAATCCCAGTTGCTTCAGTATTTAATATGAAATGTAATGCACATTATTAATCATGAAAGCCTTTAGTAGTATTTCCATGTTGTTGCTGCATCATTATGTGTTGGATATTAGAAATGGTTTTTCTAGGACTGTAATTATCGAAGGACTAGATCCTGCAAAGTATTGAGCAGCTTCTGAAGGTGTGACATATACTTTTCTCTCATGGGCAATGCTGCAGTTTTCTAAATGTAGTGGGCATGAAATATCTGATTTTTCTCCTGGAAGGAGGTGTGTCAGGGGTCTTATATCAAATTGCTTTTAACAGGAATTCATCAAGTCTCATTAAGGATCATGGCTGATACCACAAAGCAAATTTTTAGCAAACTCATGTTGTTCAGAAATAATGCAGTAAATTCTACTTTTATAACCAGCAGCTCCAAGAACTGCTCAGCACTTTGCAGGATAGGGCTCTAAAAGAAGTAATTTGGAGTTATATTCTGAAATACTCTCTCCTCCTCTCCAAATACCTTCACATACATTTTTTCAGTCTTTTTCTCTTATTGGTTTATATAATTTTCAGAGTGCTTGTGGGGACTCTAAATTGTTATGTATCAGTGGAATCTAGTTTTAGTATGGGACAAATTCTGATGTCCTCACTCAGGCTTTACTTAGCTAGAATTCTTAGTGACTTCTGTGGGTGTTTGTTCATCTTTAATAATGTCTTACTTGGACAAAAATGGACTACAGCATTCACCCATATTTGTAGGAAATGGGTACTGTGCTAAATTTTAATCCAGCTAGCTAGCTAGTCAGCTGCCAGCA